TTAATTCGTTTGCGGGGGTCGTCATCAGTTTTTTTTTTTTACAAATTTTTATAGCAAGCCGCTTGCTTCAAGCGATGCCCGCTCGCAGACACACCTCTGGTGAACAGACGCTGCAATTAGACTTCAGCATATCCTTAAACCAAATAAGTCGGAGTGGCCCCACTGAAGCTTCCTCTCTCATTAGCCTTGACCCGAGGCTCCACACGGGTAGGTTACCGCATCGTGCACACGGGTTGCTCACGTTTCCAAGGTGCGCGACTTGGACGCAAGGGTAGGAATTGAGTATAGCCTCGCAACTGTAACAGCATACACAGAAGCTTCACTACACCCCATTACACCCCTAATGGTTAATTAGCAAATGATTACAAACATACAGCCTTGGCCAAGAGTATTTTTTAACAAGTGAAGTAATGAAGTTTTATTAGTAAAACAGTGATAAAATCAATAAAATTTTTAGGTCCACCCTTCGATTTAATAGGCATGCTGAGTACAAGCTTTGCATATTCTTTTTTAAGAGCTTCTTTCGGGCTTTACATCCTTTTAAACCTGCTTTCAGAAGTCTTCTTATAGCTGTTCGAGCACTAACTGGTTTCCTAGATTCATCCGAAAGGGCAGCAGCAAGGGCAAAAGAAGATTTTTTGCGATCCTTAAGAGACTCGCCTATAAGTACTCGGTCTTCTCGTTTACTGGTTACACGCTTTCTTCTACTTTTCGATTTATTATTGCGGGATTTCGTCTCCACAAATCGCCTGATAGCACATCGCACCGCGCACCGCGAACATCCCACCAAATTGGCAATCTTTACCTGAGACTTACCTTCTTCACTTAGAACTCGAATCTCTAACTCTATCATCGTAACTAATTTCATTGTTTTAGGCATTTTGGTAAATATGAACTGTTTTTATAAGATTGATAACTTTTCACTAAATGTAATTTACACTTTCACTTTAAAATTTTAAATGCGGAAATATTAAATGAATTTCTTAAAAATGACAATTTTTAGGTTTAGCTTACCCAGTGGTAACTTTGATAGCCACATTTGAGAATACTTGTATTTTAGTGGGGTGCCTAACAATGCTGTGTATATACGATATTAGACGTTATTTTCTCCTCTATGACCATAATTTAGAATCGTCAATGAATTAAAAATTTTTCTCATTCTCTCACCAAGATTGTTATTGAAGTTTTATTTCTGACTTGGGTACTCAGCTGCAAATGTATTTTTTATTATATAATATAATATATGTAATTTCGTACAGTTTGCTCTGTTAAACTTATACCGAAGTTTGAATTTAAATAAGCAGAAAGTTTGAACGAACATGGGCTTTATATATATAACCAATTATGTTATGGAAAACTTTATTTGGTATTATAAATAAATGTTGATTTCGGAAGGGATTTGAACCTGAAATGATAATAAAATGAGTTATAATTCTCAATAACGTACATTACTTTTTTCTGTTTGACATTTTCCTTGCCTGTCACACTTGATCCCTTTTCGAATTTTCAATCAAACATTCCTATGCGATCGCTTCAAAAAGTTTTCCTTGAATTAGTAAAAGCTTTGTTAAAGACCGTTTTTCAAGATAAATTTGCGCCTCATATTGGGTTGCGCAAAAAGAAACCGGCGTTTTTTTTTAAAGAAAGTAAATTCCTTTTTATTATTCTATAATGAACTTTAATCAATTATGTAATTTGCCTTTTATTCGATGACCTATCGCCATCTTTCCGGCAACATCATTATTCTACGCTCATAGAACTTCTGTCCTTTATCTGCGATTTTATAGCTTCGTCATTTTCGAAAGCTTTACCATTTAATGTGTTCTGCAAAGATCGAAACAAATGGAAGCCTGACGGTGCAAGGTCAGCCAGCCAAGCCATGCGCTCTTAGTTTTTGGCGAGTGACCAAAGATGTGTCTAGCATTGTCCTGGTGGAATACGACAGCTTTACGATTGACCAATTTTGGCCGCTTATCGTTGATAGACGTGTTTAATTTGTCTAATCAGGCTTGGACCATGATTGCTTTCTATTGACGGTATTTTAAACAATCGATTTCATCACCTCCAGTTATGATTTGCTTCAAAAACGGTGCATATCACAAGCGTTGAAGCGGCTTGTTAAATGAATTCCTTGCAATTCACGCCTTTTTTACCAGTCCAAGACGTCGTATATGATTATGAACAGTTGATTTTGGCATACTTAACTTCTCTCCAATCTCACGCTCAGTTATATGACGATCCGATCCGATTAAGGCCTTGATATCGTCCTCATCAACTTCACTAGGCTGACCTAACGTGGCTTATCTTTGAGTGAAAAGTCTCCCGATCGGAATTTGACAAACCAACTCCGTCACTGTGTTTCTTTTAAGGCCATATCACCATACAAATAATGCAACTTTTTAGCAACCCTTTCCTTAAGGAAATAATAAAGTAAAATATGGCGAAAATGGTCTTTTGTGGGCTCCATATTAAAATTGACGCCAAACAAACAAGTATAAACAAACTTACGCATACTTTTTTCCAAATCAGCTTATAACTGTCAAAAGAAAAAATAATACATATATTTTATAAATAGCCACAAGCTGTTCAAAAAATTTTTCAACGCCGTCTGTATGAAAAATCGCCGGTTTTTGTCACGGTAACGGTTTTGCGAGGATAATTGAACAACTTCTCGTTGTATTTGCCCATACATTGTAAATTACAAGTAGTCAAGGAGAAGCCATGTTGAGTGGTACATTTTTTCTGCTTAGTGAGGTAATATTTTTCAAACAGAGAAGTCTTGAGACTAGTTTTTGATGTCATTGTGCCATTGTGTCAGCGGGCTTCGCCTCACCTTAATTACATGCCTTTATATTACATTACGAATGATAATAAAATATATGTATGTAGATAGTACAAATCTGAATATGAAATAGTTGACAAGCAAGAAAGATTAAAATTATTTAAATTAAACTAAGCGTTTTCAGGTAAGAAAAGTTTAAGCAGCCCTTAAGATAAGCTTCCAACGAACCAAATTTCAAGTGAGTCGAAGCGTTACTGAGATTACCTCGCACAAATCGATCCCCGACATTCTCTTAAGAAAGTTGAATTTTATCTCGTTCCAGCCGTATCAATTCAGGAAAAACTTTAAATTGTTTTCAACATGAGGGTTTCTCATTGAGCGAGATCACTTATGTACTAAAAATTAACCACATGTCTCGTTCTGAGGGCTATTTTTTCTTTCCCTTGGAATCATGCTACGGTGACTCTTGGTGCACTTCCGAAAATTTTTATATATAATATTAATCCAAACTATAAAAACGATTTTTTCCAACTGCCAGGAAATTTTTTTTTTTTCATGACACCCGACGAAACTTCAAGACAATCGGTCGCTTACTTTTAGAGAACACCCGTTTCAAACGGACATAAGCTTTCTCCGAAAAGATCAGTCCCAGGGAAGAGGACCCCAGTTTGAAAAACAGATAACAACCTTCACGCAGACCTGACGAATATGCATTCAAAATTTCATCAAAATCGGTCAAGTCGTTTTGGAGGAGTTTGGCCTCGTACACTGTGGCAGAAGAATTTTATATATTAGATAAAATAATATTAGTAAGCAAAACAACAACAATAATAAGTAGATAATTATTGAAGATGGAGTTGAACATTTACCAGAATTTTCAGCATAACATGGGAGGAAGAGGACAAGTCGTATGAGGAAAATGTAATATAAATCTTTGTTTCTCGTACTTTACTTTTCATTCCTTAGTCTACTTACTGCCTTGCAGAAACTTTCTATTTTTTTTTTTGCTTTCTTTCCCAAACTGCCTCTGGGCGAGGTAGCTAAAAATTTTTTCTAAAAATTTTAAATTTTCATTCTAAGGGAAAAAACATTCAAAAACAATTTTTTATGCAAAGAAATTAGAAAGCAGAGGACTAAGTTCATTCCTTACTTTCAAGTTATAAATGTTAGTGGCAAAGGCAACGTCCTATTACAAACGCATTACACAAAAATAAGTTCAGTACTTACATACAACTCAGAAATCCAATGTGAGGGAAGGAGATCAATGATTTTAAACAATTTTCTCTTTCTGCAATTAAGCCGGAAATGTGAATTATCGATATTCATTCATTATTTTAGTCTGCAATATAATCCCTTCATTTGAACTCAACGCTGTGTTAAATTTACAAATTATAATAATATAGACACTTGCGTAATGTGCTCACAGTGCAACGCTTTATTCTTAACGCAACCACAGTGCTCGAACAAATCAGTTTTAATTTCGCAGCATATCTAAGAAAATATCAAAACTATCTTTCTATACATCAGAAGTTGTGCGTTTTGATATTTTATAAAAAGCTGGCCTGACCACAAGCCCTTTAGCAAGCTCGTTGTTCTCTCTCCCGCTGCCTTGTTTTCTTCCACCTAAGCTTATCGCCATTCGTAAGGCTGGCAGTTGGGGGATCGTGAGAGAAATAGCGTATGAACCGGCTTTACACTCAGCCGATTCAACTATACGTTCACTTCGAAGATGATATCTGATGCATCGATATTTTATAGTAATCACTTCGTCACAAAATGACCACCTCAAAATGAAATTAGATTAGTATGATTTCTAGTAGAAAATGTATTTTATTTCTGTCTAGCAAAATTTGAGCAGGTCTACTGCAATTCAAGCAAAATCTGTACGCTTTGCCCAATTGATGTATTAGCTGTCCTTACCTCGTTCTGACAGAGTTCATATACAAAGCAGAGAGAACATTTCGGCTTTAGTAATTGATATTACAATACACTGCTCAGATTCAAATAACCCAGTTTTACATAAAACGTTCTTTTGTAACAGTTGTGAGTAGACATAAACATAGTTGAAACATTTCAACATTCCAGGCAGCTAGCTGTACTACGATATGTACTAACGCAGCGATATTAGATATCTTTGTAATAAACAAAACAATGATCTAACCACTAAAGCGGTGTAACCGTCTAACAAACAAATCGGCAAAAAGTATAAAAATGCGCAGCACAATCTCAAGGGCTTTAGTCGGTGCACAATTAGTTGGCTTAATGTAATTCTGTGCTAAAAACTGGTTTTTATAAATAAATATTGCCAACCTTTAAACAAAGTTCAACATATAATATATTAAACAAGCGATTATCCTAAAGAAGGTGTGAGAAGGCGACAATCGCGGCAATCGAAAGCAATACAAAATCATTTTCAATATTTGTCGATTTCATTAATTGGAGTATTAGTAAAACCAAATGGCTTTTCGCGACAAGAAGGCCGTGATTACTGGTGGTGCCAGTGGCATTGGTTTGCAAGTGTGCAAGCAACTGCTGGCTAATGAGGCTTCGGTGAGGAATTGTTAACCAAAAATAAATTCAACGCTAAATTAGAAACTTTTTAATATCCTAGAGAATCGCCATTATTGACCTTAATGAAAACAAAGAAGATATTTCAAAACTTCGTGCTGCACATCCGACACAACCCATTACTCTTGTCAAAATGGATGTGTCCAATAGACAGGGTATGGACAACACTTATGAAGAACTCAAAAACTCATTCGGCTCCATTGATATCGTTGTAAACGTGGCGGGAATTTTCAATGATCAAGAAGTGCAGCAGACCATCTTAGTTAATTTGGTAATTTAAGTCCACATTACATTTTACGTTTGCTGATTGCTCCCCTAACCTTAGGGTGGTATTATAAATTCTACTCTTGCTGCGCTTAAAGTAATGAGCAAGGAAGCGGGAGGCAATGGTGGCGTTATTGCGAATATGTCATCTGTGGTCGGCCTGGATCCCATGTTCTTGTTACCGGTTTATGCCGCTACCAAAGCTGGAATTATCAATTTCACTCGATGTTTGGGAGTAAGTTCTATATGACAACCCCAAGTTATAAATGCAATAATTAAAGATTATTTACAGAACGATATTTACTTAAACCGTACTGGCATCAAATTTATTACACTTTGTCCGGGTGCCACTATTACCGATATGTTCACCAACTTTACTGAGAAAATATTATTTGCCGATATGGGCGATGAATCATATCGGGTGCTAGATCGCCTTAATAAGCAAAGCGCCAGTGACGTGGCTCGGTGTATACTTTCCGCCTTAGAAAAGGAGAAAAATGGCGAAGTGTATATCATTGAGGGCAAAAGACTATTTTCAATGGAAATGAAGAGCTACTGGCGTGGCATAGAGAAGGAATTAAATGAGTAATGTTCAAAATAAAATCTCATCTTCAAATGAGCTACAAAGTGCAGGCAAATTAAAAAAAATTTGAGATATTAAAATAAATTTTTTTTAAAACTTATTGCTAAACTTCTTATTATTATTATATTTGTGGGATTCATAAAGTTATAAGTCATAAATAAAAATGTTAAATTTCTGATTGTTCTACTAAGTTATGGAAATCAAGATCAATTATAGCTGATTATCCTTTATTAAGTTAGAGTGCTGCATTGAGCAGCAGTCGAGTTTTTCTAGTTCCCACATAATGATCTAAAAAAATCTAATATAATTGTTCAGATTTACTAAAAATATAGTTCCCAAAAGCCAATATCTGTAGATAATTCAAGAAAAGCGTGCACGATCTGCAAAATTACATGACATATTTAGTTGTTGTTGTTGCTGTAATGCGAGAGTGATTGGCCAGATAAAAATTTCAGTCGTTTCGATATAAAAACCAGACAGGACGAACTGAAACTATCCTAATGCTGTAACTACCCATCTTACATAGCGCACGTCCATAACACCCGACTGTAATATTATAGAATATACAAACAGGAGTAATTTCTATGGGACAACCGTCAGTTACGGCATCAACAAATGGTTACAACTTTTCATTTATAAGGCGCTCTCATGTGAGAGGTTGCTATGAATGGAAGGTTTGTAAGATGGGTAGTTGTAGCATAAGTCGAGTTGAGTAGAGTCTAGTTGAAATGGGCAAATCAGTAGACGTTTTATACCATTCTCCAACCGTCCAAGAATTTCTGAGCAGTTTAAAAACATCCACAACTATTTTGACGATGGCTTGATCGTCGATTGCCTTTCGCAAATACCTTCTTGAGGATACTATTTGATCTAATGGACTGTTTTGATACCATTTTTAGTTTCTATTATGTAATAATTAATATTTGAACAATGTGGTATTGAGTAATGAAAAAGCGCTTTACATTTATATTCGTTGGAACAAAAAAGATTTTGAAATTTTTATACATTAAATAAAAATAAATACTTGGAAGAGAAAGTTTTTATTTCAGAAGATACATTGGCAGGTTTGCTTTCAATTTTATGTTAAGTACGAAGTGCTAATATGATTACATCAAAGGGTTCGAAAGATGAGATAATATTAGGGGCAATCATTGGCAAAATGTAATATTGATAGTAAAATTGTGTAGGCTAATCCCTAATCTATTCGCATTTGCGTTTACGGATACTTTGCCACCCTTTCTGCATATTTCGTTTTCGAAGCCATGCTAGCCTCTCTGACTACAATCATGACACTGTGGGATTATAATTGCGTACAGTCATTCGGAGGGCCAGGTATCGACTTCTGAGCTATAGTTTCTCGTTTAAATTCCATGAAATGTTGGGAAAGCGGCCAAGAATAAACTCCATTTGTTAAAAAACAACAAGACGCAAAACCACAAATGGGAGAAGGAGCTTGAGCGAAAATCGCTTTAGCGCTTACAAAGGGCCAAATATATATAATCCTATCACACTCTCTGTGTATTTATACATCAGTCCCACCCGTCTCATCTAGTCTAAGTTTCTCTACTTTGGAAGCTGAACATAAATACAATGATTTGTCGTACAATACTTTGAATACGCTTGCGCTTAGCTCTTTGCTCGCAGATCTTGCACAAAAAAATTCTGGGCAGAATCAAAGTATGAGCCGTTAACGTCCCAGAATTAGCTATTAGAACTAAAAACCTTCAATAAATAATTAATTACGGCATGATAATTTCCAAAACATCAGAAATATGGAGAGGTTGGTAAATTTATGCTCTGATTAGTGAATAATGTATCTAATTAATTAATTATTATTTATCGAATAATAAGATGTTTTAAAAAAATTGATATGCTAACTAGCACCCCCAGGTACTCATCATAACATGGAGAATTTTGTGAAAGAGAAAAATTTTAGTTTTTCAAATACAAAGTATTTAAGCAAAAACAATTTAATTGTTGGTATTCAACTTTAGTTTCAGAAAAATGTTTGAGTCTTTTATCTGGACACTGAAAAATTTTGGGCAACACTTGTGTGGGCTTCAAGAGCGTCGTATTATTTTTGTTCTTAATTGCCTCAGTTTTCAGTCTAATAGCTTTGCGCGGACGCCTATATTTTACTGAAATCGGGATTTCCTAGACGGTGTTTTACTGTTGTTTTCAAGCAACCCTTCCGAGAATGTACAGGGAAATTTACTCCGAACAGCTTGTCAAGATAACCAATTCAAAGTTCGATATTTAAAAAAAGTGTGCCAAATTATCATCTTACGACATCCAAAATAATGGAAATTAAATTTTCCTTATTTCGGTCGCCTCGGCAGCTAATCAAGGCAAAATAGTTTTATTATGATTGGCAGCAACAACAGCAACAATTGTTACGGAATTTTACTAATACTTTTATTTTGCATGCTTTCGCGACATCTAACGGTTAAGTGCTGAAGTTCTACTCATCCACTTTCACGTTAATATTGCTTTTAGTGACATCTAGCGATAATCTGTTAAGTTTCAATGTACAGGGTAGCTAGAGAATCTATAAATGAGAAGGTGAAAAATCTCGGGAAACCCCACAAAATAATTTTGTGAACTTCTGCCTTTGTGATCTTCTGCCAAAGCTTCTGCTAAAACCAGAGAAATCGTATACAACTAATTTCTCTATGTTAATGTATTTCCAAAAAACATTATTAATATTATTTCTTTGTTTTGACCAAAGAACGTATATTAATATCAAAGAACGTATTGTTACGATTTTACTAAATCAACCTCGATGATTTTCTAAATCCTTCGGGTACGATCTCTGGATTGTTAAATAAAACTCGCCAACTTAATTTGCAGTTTCTTTTGTTATAAAGAATTAATCTAATGTCCTTTATTTACTCCGTAATTCACAATTCAATTA